TTATATCTGGCCCACGACAAAATATTATGTGTCTATCTTAACTGGCGGTGTATTGATGGTGCACAATGCCCGGCTAGATGCACACGGAGCGAGCGCTCCTCTCCACTAACTCTCAGAGTATTTGATGATATTAAATTATTTTTCCAGCGTTCCAGAGATCCCAGTACCTGCCCCGTCAAGTTCACTGTGTCTCTCAGGCTTATCGCTCTCTTTTTCCTTCCGTCTTCCTCTCTCCATCTCGCCAGGTGGAGTGCACAGGCTCCACTGGCCGAGCCAGGGTGCACAGTGCCTGGCTAGACGCACTTGAATATGAGCATAATATGTTTCCTTGAATGCTATTTTGATCAGGAACAACTCTGCCTGCCACACAACTGTAGCTTGATCCCACACGATCATTCATTCAGTGTTTGAAATCACCATCTTGAGTAGTTTGGTGGCACAAACAACTTGTTACTACAGGAATCTTTCCCATCACTACCCTCTGTTCAACACAGAGGAACCATGACATCAGCCATTTCACAGCCACACTGAGCAGCAATTAAGTTTCACATTTGAGTCACCATGTATGGAATCCAAGACTGTGGATCAATTGTATTTTCAGTCATTGATCAGGTAAGCATTGACCTTTGCTCGCACACAGGTCCAGGATGAAGAACTAAGAATAGTCAACTATCGATCCAAAACTGTCTCTGATATCTTTTTCAAATTGAGGCAAGCCTAAACCAGCTGCCAGAGCACGAGATCACGGCTCGGCTGCCTTCCCTGAAGGTTTAAGGAAGCAAAAAAGACAGGAGTGGGAATCCAGCCTGCACTTTTTGCACTGATAAAGAGGCAAAATATGCTTATCCGTTTAGAGGGAATCAATAGAGGGTGAGGGGACGGAGGAAGAGATGGACAGATGGACAGATATCCTTGTCAAGTCGATGTGTTCGTTCTCTGAGTCTCTGGGGTAATTTGGCAGTTTCCGTGGGTTTTGTTTCAACTTCCTCTGACTGAATGATGCTCACAGCGATGGTTCTAAATGTCCTTTTTTGTCCTTATGAACATAAGAGTGACTGCAGAGTGCATCTTGTTGATGAGGTTGTTTAGAGAACAGGCTTCATGTTCCCAGTTTAGCAGAGCAGAAGCTGGGGATCATCAGCACATCTACCAGTAGGCTCTGGAGAATGGCTTCCTCAACAACTTTGTGTAGCATTTCTATCTGCACATCTCTTTTCTCTACAATCTATTCAATGTATTGACCAGGCTGTCACTTTTTATTAGAAATTCAAGCATTCATTGGTCCGTGGAGGGGAGGGTTCATAATCGATTTGTATGGTTCAAACTCAAAATACACAGTCTAGGCGCTTGTGTCGAGATTCAGCAGAGGGTGCTTATTGTCAGCTTGCCCTCTTGACCTATCTAAAGTAATGTTATGTTGTTTTGCTATGAAAAAGGAGGACGCTAGCAAACAAAGCTTTCCTGAGCGGACAACACCAAAGCGGCTTGTGAAAGTATTTATACACCATGTGACTGCAAAGAAACCCACAAATGTAAAGTTGTTTGTTGTCTTTGTACAATGCAACTGCTGTGCTCTTTAAAACAAATCTACGGGCTGACCTGTTGGCAGAGACGGAGGAGGCACAACAGACGAGTGGAGCGATGTCAAAGTGGTCAGCCTTGTTTGAATATTCGAAACAATGACAGTGACGCCAACTTCTTTCAAACTTGACTTCTGGAAAAAGCTACAGACCTAATACATGTTTTATAGCTATAAACAATGTTAGGGTGTGTTTCAAATCAGTTTCTTGTTCGGTAGAAAGACTGGATCACTAGGGGAATTAGATTTCTGGCACTGATTCTCTGAATGTGGGGATACTGAGTCACTGATGACCTGCAATAAGGGACCACAAGATAATAATGTCATATCAACCACAAGTGTCCTTCAAGTCAGGAAGTCAGGAAACATTAAAGTCAATCAGTAAAATAAAAAAACTGTTAATATAGCTGTAGTTTCTACTCAAGAGATCGTGTTCTGAGAAGTGACTGGTACAATATAATCATTAGGACATCCAATGACTCTGAATCCCAGAGGTGTACGTCACTTATTGAATCATCAGGATCGAGTTTGACACAGACCACAAATCAGTGTGTGCCTCTTTCTCTCTCCTTCCTGTCTTTCCTTTCTTCTTCTGTACTGACATTTTTGGCAGTCATGGGGGAGTTTTAATTTGCAGCTCATTTCTCTCCTAATAGCAGCGAGTGTGTGTGTGTGTGTGTGCATGTTGCACATTGTCTTGTGTGTGTGTGTGTGGGGGGGGCACATTGTCTTGTGTGTGTGTGTGTGGGGGGGGCACATTGTCTTGTGTGTGTGCACAGTAACTGAGTAGAAAGAGATGAGTCAGTGATGCCAGCACACTACTCTCAGGGCTCTTCTAAAGTCCTCCAGTTTTTAATCACCAGCAACTCTAACATCTAATTAATCATTAACTTTTCTCCTGCTGATCCTTCACCCTCTGGAGACACCTCGCAGAACGTCTCTCGCTCGCTCACATTATCTTTGTTTCTTTGTGTGAGCATTCAGCATCAGTGTGAATCTTTGTGTATTTCAGTTTTGAGGAAGGTGCTTAAATAGGATAAAAAATTAGCTTAGTGGGAAAACACCTCTGCTCTATGGAAGTTTGTGATGACCAATAAACCTATTTACACTTAGAGCCAGTATTGTTTGGCTGCCAGGGTGTATCCGCCTTCAAATGAATCACATTAAAAAAAGAAGAATGGTGGTTGTCATGTCAGAAATCACTCTCTTTCTTGAGTTGTTGTGTAATCCTGCTAACAAACGCCGATGAAAACATAACCTGTTTGCGAAGGTAGTAATATTTTTTCTACTTTCCTTCAGTGTTGATATTCTCTTGGAGCCAAGTGATGTTAACATCTGTTAACCTTCTGTGAAATCTTACAGGCAGCCAACAGCAGATTTTCGAAACGCCATTAGATGTTGGAAAGAAGTTTAATTTAGTTTTTAATCTAAATTCATTAATTTTTTTTACCTCAGATCAAAAAAGGGAAAAAATCAGTTTGTATTTCTAAAATTGACCAAATTAACACATGCAATAAAAGGTGTTCATTTTAAGTGGTACACCAAATGTGATCAGTTAAATGTTTGTAAAGCGGATTGAGGCTGATGACTGTTGATTAATAAACTATACAAGGAAGAAATGTGTGAATATTAAACCTTTGTTGACTTTAAATTACAGGATGTGAAAAGAAGGATGATTTGAATTAACTACACTTATTTTCTTAATTGAGCATTTTCCTTTCATGTGGGTGTTTATATTATTATCAGCAGTGGAAGTGAGCTGCTGCAGCTCTTTATCAGTACATGCTCAAGAGAACTCCACTTGAAAAGTGACCTTGCGCCAGTCAAGAATGAACGCTATAAATTATTCAGCCTCTCGTGAACGCCACCTATACTGAATGCATCAAAACCTTTGTCTTCCTGTGACCAACGCCACCGCCTTTGTATAGTTCCCTGTGTGTGTGGCCTGAGCTGTGGAGCTAAAAAAATCTATGTTGTGCATGTGGCTGTCTTGTTTCGTATAGGGAGTCCCTTGGGTGTAAGCAGCCAGCGTGGTGGTGTGACATCTCTGTTAGTTTGCAGAGATAGACAGGAGCTGTTAAAACAGAGAGGAGAGGAGAGGTGCTCACTTCATCCAAATGTGTGTTTGATGAGGATAGAAATGTCCCTATTGTTTTTTTTTCTACCTTTCTCTTCCGCTGCCCCTCTCCCTTCACGTCCTCCCTCTCCTCTGCTTGTCTCCACCCTCTTTGGTCTCCATCCTCTCTACACTCCCCCCGTCTCCTTTTCTCCTCTCCTTTGTTTCCCTTTCCAGTCTCTTCTCACCCTCTCCTCTCCTTTGCTCAGTGTGTATACAGACAGACGTGCACTTCACTGCCAGCAATGATTTATTCTGCTTAGGCAAATTAGTGTGGCTTACAGCATGCTGCTCCCTTTCTGCTTCATCAGTACACATTGCACATAACGCTGGAGCAGGTTGCAGCCTGTAGGCACACACACAACCCCTGAAATGGATCTGAGAGACACGCTGGAGGGGTTCTCCTGCAACACAATGCACTGATGTGATTCATTCCTGTGTTTCTGATGTAGTGGAATGTGTAAGAGAGCGTGTATATTACGCAGCTTGTGCCTCTAATATAATCATCCTTTTTACCATGGAGGCCTCAGCTGGTGCCTTGGTCCAGAACAATGGCCTACTGAGTTAACTCACTTAAAAAGACTGGGTGTGGACGGTGGTGCTGGGCCAAATGATTCAAATCAATTATCATATTAATAAGAACATATTCTGATCATTGACTGTATATAAAAATGGACGACACATGTCCACTTCCTCCCACAAAATGAAGCAACAATATCCTGTGTATGAATGCTGCCAAAATCTGTACAATAGCGATCCACTGTACTGAATAGGTTGAATAAATTGAAGGTGTCATGTAACACTCCATAGCATCATACAGTGTGAATATGACATAGATGTGATGCTGCAATAATATGGAGACCTACTTAACCGTTACACCTTTCCAGAGTTTCCAGTTTTACTGTTTTAGCGAAGACAAGTGCGCAGGAATATGACACTTTCTGCTTCCATTTTTGTTTGACTGAAGTGTGTTCCACTTTGAGCAGTGGGACTTGAGATTATTTACATTCTAGAAACACTTTGGTTAAGTTTATTATTAGAAAAGCAGTTGGTTCTATACTGGCAAAATCTGGGCTCATGCTACTTATGTGTTCGTAGATCTAATTCTCACATGAACACACAAAAGACATTTGACAAAATCACAAGTATATATGTACTGTGTGTGTGTGTGTGTGTGTGTGTGTGTGTGTGTGTGTGTGGTGTTTGTGCATGTATGTGCGTGCTTGTTTGTGCCTTCACCGTCTGCCTGATCATGAGCGTCCGTGTCACATTGTAAAAAGAGAGGAGGTGCTGCCCCATGGATACCTGTGACCTGGTCGACGAGGATGCGGGAGGTGATGATGCGTCCGTACTGGGAGAAGAGCTGCTCCAGCTCCTTCTGGGTCATTGTCTTGGGCAGGCCGCTCACGTACAGGTTGGCGTCACGGATGGAGGCTGAGCTGGGTCGCGCATATGACACCTGTGGAGAATGAAACAGATTCTTAGGGCTGGTATGAATAAATCAAGACTTCATTAGTCAATGAGAGGTGCAAGGATTCTGTACATGTATGTGCATTGGATGAGGCAAGGGTGTGTGTCGTTGGATTCACCAGGAGGAAAATGTGACTATTTTCTGAGCACACCTTGCCTTAGGGATTATCGTTGTCAGGAACAGATTTAGCTGCGTAGAACACTGGAGAGATAATGCTTTAGTCGTTTTCTGGGGGTGGTGGAGGAAACTTTGTTCCCTTGAGTAGAAACCACAGGTGTTTTTTTTTTAAAGGACAGCTCAAGTAGCCAGGGGAACAGGATTATAGGCCTTTGTCCAAAAAGTCTCTTCATTCTGCCTCTTGATTTCAAGTGCTGCTCTGAGTTAAAGCATGAATGAATTACAAAGGCGAGAATTAATGTGTTGTGTTGTCAGCACGTAAAATGAATTAGCAATTAGACTAATACTAAGTAACCAGAAATATCTTTTAAGCTTTTCACTAAGCATCATTTAGCCTTGCGATCTCTGAAGAGAGTTCATTTAGCCAGTCTAGAATATTTGTCAAACTTTGAAAAACATGATCTCTATTTTAACAAATTAGCTATTTGTTTGTTACACTTTACCAATTCAGCTAAAAAGAAACACAAGTACACAAAAACAAAATTATATTCTTGCCCAGTGCCAGTAATTTTACAGGGGGATAAAAATACCTCTTGTTACCACCAATCCAACTTAATTCTGTCACCGTCACACGCTGCCTCACCTCCTCATTTCCACACATAAAACATTCATCTTATCAGCTTCACATTTGACGTGTCCCAAGATGGTGCAGTGCAGACTTTGGTGCAATTTTGACATGATTTGACTCCTCAACGTAACTGATGTTGCCGATGCTGATTCTTGAGTTTGGTTCTGCTTCCTGTGTCGGGCTTCAGAGAAATCTGAATAACCAGGTGTCTTTTTTGCAGCTGAATTACTGCAGGTCACTTTTACAGTTTCAGAAAGAAAGCTGCAACCAGCATCACTACAGCCCGTTTCTAATGGAAATACAAACACACACAACTTTTAATGCTACTTTGCAGCCATTCATAGTCTTCTACCTGGAATAAACTGTGTGTAAATGCCGTGTTTAACTGAATAAGTAGTCCTACTGTTGCAGTGCAGCTTCCAGCAGTAGCTCTCTACCAGTGAACTTTCACTTGACAAACGTCTTTCCCAACATCTTCATGTGCAGACCCGGTTTCACTCCAGCGAAAAGTTGTGTAAATCCCATTATGACTGCTGCTGACTGGAGCAGCTTTCCCTCGCAGTGCTTTCATTACCTCTGACATGTGGAGACAGAAGTCATCAAATAAGGTTAAAGTCAGGCAAATATGTTGGATCTGCAGTCGTATCCTGCAGCAACAGCCTGGAAATCCTGTGGTGGGAGAGCAGGATCAGGGACAGCTGGCTTTCCGCATGTCTCACTATTCTTTCACCCATCTTCCTCTTTGGCCTCTCTGCTGAGCTCCAATGTCTTCCACATCTCCCTCCTTTTTTTGCTGCCTGGATCTTCTCCTTCTTCTTCTCTCCTTTCTTCCTCCCTTCCTTCCTGTGTGCCGCCTCAGTAAACCTTTCTCGCTCTTCCAGACTCTTCCTCTTTTTTCCCCCTCCTCTTTTCTCCTCTGTGCAGCTCTGCCTCATTTTCGCTCCTTGTCAGCCAACTCCAGATGTCTAATCCATCAACACCTCCTCAAGCTGTGAGCGGTATTGTGTACAAGTGTGGTGCATGTGTGAAGCAGCAGTGTGTGTGTGTGTGTGTGTGTGTGTGTGTGTGTGTGTGTGTGTGTGTGTGTGTGTGAGAGAAAATAAAGTTAGGAAAACTGCAAGTGTGAAGATTAAAGTGTTCACAAGCACACTGTATAAATGTGGATTATGTGCATGTGTTACTGTGAGCTCCTCTCACCTTTGGCATGCTGCTCCCCCTCACACCTCAGAAGGAAAGCAGCATCGCAGCCATCGCTGACAAAATCTGAGGTGTCGTGGTGGAGGAAAACACAGCGGCGAAAAAACCCAACACAAAGACACTACTGAGAGACACATCGCCCGGGAGCGTGTGAATCTCTGGGCCAAGCATTTCCTCACAAGTGTAGTGGCAGAGAGTGGGAAGGGTGTGACATGAAACAGCCACAAACTTAATTTTAGAATTACTGTGCTGCCTTTTAATTTACCTTGTTACCTGTAGGGTATTTCAGTCTGTTGTGGAAGAGAGAGGAAGGAGGGTAGTGGGAGGGAGGAGATGAAGTGTGAAGGAGCGATGGCGCCAGACAGCGACGCTCAGTTGTCTGCTGTCATTACAAAGACATAGGAGCCTTTATCTCAGGAACAACTTGAGGCAACCTCTTGTGTCATGAGTGTGAGAGTGAATATCAGACTGCTACAGTCTAATTTTCATATTAACACAAATACTTCAAAGTGAGAATGAAATACTGTGAACATTGTTCAGGAAACAAAATTATAATGTTACTACTGGCACATTGCATCGTCTTGGATATCCAAGAGATGACATGCCTCAACTTGTAATCAACGTACTTAGTAATATTCCAGTATTTCATACTTCAAAGATACAGAGAT